TGTTCGGAAGAACGGTACAACGCAGGGGAGAGGAACAGCGGGGAGAGACAGACGGGCATCGTGGGGGAGCAGACTGTGATATCCAGAGGAGGAAGATGAGAAAGGAGAGCGGAACAAGAAACGCCCGGATCGAGCGCGTTACATAATTTTCGTAACTCCACGGCGAAGCGGAGAGGGCGACGCGAGGTTGGTGGGGATGTGGGGAGTGGACGATGGTCTACGAGGAGCTGCCCTGAGGTGCCCTCTGCGAGAGCGAAAGAGAGAGAGAGAGAGAGAGAGAGGGTGGAACAGAGGAAAAAGAGTAAAGCGACAAAGAGCAAGAAGGGTACGGGTGCGAATAGATAAATGGATGGATGAATAAATGGCACGGGGGAGACAATAAAGAAAGGATGAGTGAGAAGAGAAAAAAAAGGTAGAGAAAGAGAAGAGTAAACATAGCTAAATAGACAAGATTGTGAGAGAGAGAAATAAATATATTTAAATGAAAAAGAAAACAAGAGAGAGAGAGAGAGAGAGAGAGAGAGAGAGAAAAGAAAGGGATGAGAGAAGGGAGAAGTGGAAATAGTGGAGGCTCGTGTCCTGGTGGGTGGAATGGCGAATCAATCCTCGACGAGAGGAAGGGGCGCATGAGGGTGAGGAGATGGAGACGGAAGAGGAAGAAGGGGTTGATGATGAAGAGGAGGAGGAGGAGGAGGAGGTAAAGGCGGGCGGGTGGTGGTGGTGGTGGTGGTGGTGGTGGTGGTGGTTGTGGTGGTGATGGTGGTGGTGGTGGTGGTGGTGGTGGTGGTTGTGGTGGTGATGGTGGTGGTGGTGGTGGTGGTGACGGCGACAGAGGGATGGGTGGGGGTGGCCGACGGCAGTGTGGCGACATATTACTCACCGTGGACGGTGGCAGCAAGATGTCTGCGAGGTGTCTCTTCTTCCTCGACGGTGGCAAGAGAGAGGAAAACCCGATGTCACATACGCCGCTTCATCGGGCCACTGTGCTGCCGCTTAATACCACTCCGCGCGGTGCTCTTCGCCCGCCTTCTTCACCTTCTGCCACTAAAAATAAACTCGCTCGCTATGCCGTGCGCTTCTCTGACTACCCCCGCGCGCGCGCTCGTGAACACTCTCCCTCCCCTCCTCCACTCACGCACACTCGCTCATTCTCTCATTCTCTCTCTCTCTCTCTCTCTCTCTCTCTCTCTCTCGCTTGCTCTCTTTCTCTTTCTCTCTCTTGCTTTCTCGCTCTCTCGCTCTTTCTCTCGTTCTCGCTCGCGCCTCACGTCTTGTAAACGCGACCGACACATTAATCCGCGCTTTCAGGCCGCTCTCTCGGACATTCTCGCGCACCTCTCGCGCTCTCCACGACCGACCAACCGCTCGATTCCCTAGAATCGAGGAGGTGGCACTGTGTCGCCACTCGCCGCCGCTTGTCGCCGCTGCTACCACCACCGCCTCCACCACCACCACCGCCACCTCCACCGCAGCAGCGCTGGATGACGATGGTGAGGACTGAGGACGGCGATTCGATATACGCGGAGCGACAAGCTGGGGAGAGATGTCGACCTGTCACGGCCGGGGTCGCGGACAGAGAATACAGAAATTCCTCCGTGGTAGCGGCGGAGGTGGTGAGAAGGGGAAGCGGTGAGAGCGCGAACGAGAGAAAATCAGAGCACACGAATTCAAAGATGAGAAAAGAAGAGAAGATGAGGAGAGAATGAGCGAATGCAGGAAGGCCAAGTGAAGACAATTCAGGAAGCCGTGAGGAAACACGCACGCATACACTCGCGGTCGATTAATTCGTTTTGTATTTCCGCGCGGAACGACGGACGAACCGAGACAGATAGACAGACAGACAGATAGATAGATAGACAGACAGACAGACGCACGCACGCACGCACGTTCTTACCCCCGGGGAAGGGGTGCCACTGCCGTCGTACGGCGTACCGAGAGCGCGGAACTGTCTCGCTCGCGGCGCTCTTCAGTTCCTCGTGGTCTCGTCGGACCTTCCTCCCACCCTACTAGTGGTATCGACTGCGCTCGGGGCGGCCTTTTCTCCTTGATGCCTTTTTTCATATAGGCAAGGCCGCAACACCGATTACCGCTACCTGGTAGCTCACGTTGATGGTAGCGCGCGTTACCGCTGGTAGCGACCGGCGAACCGCGACGACGACATCCGCGCATCGACGACGACGATGATGACGGCGAACGGGGAGACGAGGAGAGACGAGGACACGACTACACCGCGACGACGACAACGATTATACTCCGGTTAGCTCGCTTCCCGCTGCTACCGCTGGCCTGCCTGCTGCTCTGCCGCCGATTCTGCGCGCGCACCTTCGACATACACGTACGTGTACAACGGGCCCGCACTGTCCGTCCGTCCGTCTTTCTCTCTCTCTCTCTCTCTCTCTCTCCTTCGCTATTTCGCGTGTGTCACGCGCGAGCTGCTTGCGTGTGTACGCGCCGTCGCGTGTCCAAAGGCGGACGACGAGGAGCGCGAGTGTGGGAGAAAGAAAGAGAGGGAGAGACCGGCGAAGAACGAACGGAAGATAAAATAGAATGAAACGAGACAGGAGAAAGAAGGAAAAAAAGGAAGGAAAGAGAGAAGGAGAGGAAATGCGGATAGAAAAGCGTCTAAGCTAAGAAAGAGTTCGGAGAGCCTTTCAGCCTTGGCCTATCCAAGATAGGATGCGAATTTGGTGCACGCTATCACAGTCGCCGTTAAACTATCGTGCCTAAATCGGGGAGAGTCGCACACACGCACACAAATACATAAACACAGTGCCGCGTTAAATTGTTTTGCGCCCATAGACGAAAATATTTCGAATGCCTTTTTATAACACACATAAAGTCACCCCTGGAATATACAAATATATCTCAAGTTCGATTTTGAGATGTAAAAATTTTTTTAATATATTTCCATTTTTACGTGCAAAGGTATTTTCTATTTTTTAATTTTTTAGATATTTTTCAACACACTTCAAGCTTTGTGGATATCAAATTCTTTTCAATATTGCCTAACTTTTTAAATATTTTTCAACGTTTGACTGAATAAAAGTTTTTTCTATTTTGTCATACTTCTAAACATTAGTCGTCCTGAGCTGAGCCCATGTCTCAATACGGCACTGCACGTACATACACACGGGAAATATATCTATCGTGCACCCCTCCCCGCGATTTGCGCGCGCTCGTTCTCTTCCCCTTCCATCCCCAATTGCTCTCAACCTTGTGACCCACTACCCCCGTCGCGTCCACCACCCTGGAACCAGTTTCAAGAACGCGGTTTCGCGGTTTCTCCGTCCAACACCTGAATCCGGTTAACGGCTCGACAACAATGAATCCCGGCGCTTCGTCGAAATAGCTGTACTTCATTCAGTCACGATACCATACTTCGACTTCATTCAGCGACGTGGAGCTTCAAACTAACTTTGAGATCGTCGATCACGGTTCATTGCAATATCGCACCTTCTATCGTTAAAACGTTGGTTTCATTTCAATGCATACATATTATTGTTTCTTAACGCGATTCATTCGATTTAAAAATTTTCATCAGTTAATAACATAATTCTTTTGCGAAATAATTACCTTTAATTTGAAACTATCTTTCGAACTCATTCCATTTTTCTTTCTCTTTCTCTTTCTCTCAATCTATTCGTACAGCACACTTTACTTAATAATGGACTCGCTTGCGTTATCCTAAATTAGTGAATATTGAAATCTGCTACGTAAAATGAACAAAATTAAATGCAAAAACATATAAATATTTTAAAGGATTAAATATTTAATTATAATGATACCATTACGTTATCTAATGACGTTTTCAACCTGGTTTAAACCTGGGCTGAATTAATGATATTACATGCTCTATGAATAGTAGCAGTGGCTCTAGAAATGATTAAAAACATTTCAAATTGGGAATAATTTGATATTATAAATTTAACAATGTGGGACGTTTAGAGAATAAAGGACAAAGATGTTCTTTGAATATCTTTAGGACGTTCCTTGAACATCTATGCTGTATATACTAAATATATCTATCTCAAACTTGTCTTAAGCTATTTATTTATCTTTTCCGAAAATAACAAGCCAATCCCATCAACTCCGATTAATTTGTTTAGTCGATTAAATTTCAGTATTGCTAACTGTAAAACTGAAAACATAATTTTCTGGTACATATAAATTAATAATATAATAAATATAATAATATAATAATATAAATTAATATAATATATATAAAATTAATTCATTTAATTATTTGAATTATATTAATGTCGGATATTGTTTTCACAGCTATTAAAATATTATGTTTTCAATTTTGCAGTTGGCAATGCTAAAATTTAATCGGTCGATTAAATTAATCGAAGTTGGTGAGACTCGTCCAAGATGTTTTACATTGGATCAAAACCTTCCTTCTTACTTTCCAAATATCAAACATATTTCACTTTAAACGCAGAGAATACATATGTATTAGGATACATATGGATTCCAATTGGAATTCCATTTTCTCTAGAAAATAGATACATATAATAGATACATATAACTCTAGGGAATAATTGAACAATTCCGACCGAGGAATCTACATTCCAAATAATTCCATAATACATAACATAAATACGTAAGTTACGCGTATTTAGTTTAGTTGAAAAAAAAAAGACCTTGTGACATAACGAGAACTTAATATAATTACTTACTGCGTCGTTTTTTATCGCAGCGTTTAGAATCCAAGAAAGCGTTACGTCGATAATTGAACGCCGTGTTGGATAAATATCGGACTGAAGTACGCACTCACAAATTCAAATTTCAAAAGTCGATCACCGAACGCCGTGATAGGCTGGTCTGCCATTACGCGAGCGCGATTCGATGGTGGGAAAGGGAGGGGGTAACGCGGTCAGTCGCGTGTTGCGATTGGCTCGCACGCGACTTTATGTCCACGACGCGCCACTTCTGTGAGCGATAGGTGGATCGGATTCGGAAACGTATTCGCTCGACTACCTACTCTCACGATCTATGTCCAAATATTCTAAACAGCCTGTAGCCTGTACTCCTGTAGCGAATGTTGTTGTTGTGAGGTTAGGGAAAGTGTTCTAGTTTGTGGACTAATATAATTGGATGTGTATGAATTCTGAAAAGCAAAGAGACTGCACGCGATTGAACAAGGAACCCCTTGTTCAATTATCTGTGTCGACTGTCACTTTTTGTGTTATCTTTTTTTCTCTCGATCAATGGACTAGACATTAGAGTGTCTGGTATCCCGCCAAAGTGACAAAACGCTAGCTGCCGTTTACCTGTTTTTCTACAGTGAAACATTTGTTTTTTCATTAATTGAATTAATGTACATGTTTGGAACAGTGAAATAAATATATATATATTTGATATTTAGCGAAAACGGATAAAAATTGTAGTTGCAGTGATAAAAAAAACAGACTTTGCAAATAGTGTTCTGTTTCTTTTTGTTAATGGACTTCGATCGTCTTATCAGTTTCTAGATAACGTTGTCGAAGGTGTGAGAGTGGCGCTTCTTTAAACAGTGATTGATAGATTTATGACTCCTATGTGGATAGCCGTGACGTTTATGAAACGGCAAAAATGGTCACCGTGCAAGACATCGGTTTACAACTTACGAAGCCAGTGAGAGAGCTGGCACAATGGAATTTTCCTTTTGCTCAGGTATGCTTATAATAAAATCTTATGTCAGTGTGATAGTAATCCGATATGTATTGAAATAATACTCTCTCTCCTATTGTTGCAGACTCTGGAACAATACTGCTCTTTGTTCAATACAACGTGTAATAAAAGTTTCGGCGATGCCGGACTTGTTTTACAAAATTCCACGGCTGTCTATGTGCATAGACTTGATTCTCTCTGGACTAAAGTCGAGTATTGTAGAGATGTGTTATCAACTCAAGAGTAAGTGGTTTATCTTAATGTTAATCCCAATTAATAATTAATTTAATTGGTATCTGAGAATTCAGGATGAACATTTTTTCAAAAAATTGAAAAATTGTTTATGACAAATATTTTTCTGCTAGTTTACTCTTTAGGTTACTGGTTAATGTTTGTTAGATTTGTTAGATAATGTTTGTTAGATTTTGATCTTTAAATTAAAAAAAAAATTGTTTAATTGTTAACTTTAGACAAAAGTTTAAAGTATTAATTAAAAATATATTTCTGGTAAAAATTTTTCTCAGAATTTTTATACAAATCAGAAATACATTACAGAAATACTGAGAAAGTCTACATTCTTAGAATTTTTGATATATGTGAATTCTAAAATGTTTTAAGATTTCTAAAATTTTTTATTTTGATTTTTGAAAAAAAAAATTTTTTTTAAATACCTTTAATGTTTTCAGATTTTATAAGATTTTATAAAAAATTAAAAAATGAGAAATCTTAGAAATTTTAGAATATTTTAGGATTTATAAATAAAGAATCCTAGAAAAGATAATTGGTATTTATTTTAAAATTTTAGCATTTATGAGTGCACTGTCCTGATAAAAATTTTTCATATAATTTTTTAGAATTACTGAATTAATAACTCTATATATTATATATATAAATTTTCTTTGTGCTTATAAAGTGTTCCAATTTATGTAAAAAATCCGAATAATTTTTTAAAAAGCTATAAAGTTATTAATTCAGTAATTCTGAAAAATTATATGAAAAAGGGCAGTTCACTCATAAGTGTCAGCTAAGAAAATTTTAAAATGAATACTAATTAGGATTTAAAGAATTGTAACAGAAAGAGAAAGAATCTTCTAGTTCGCTAATTAATTAAAAATTACTAGCTTAAAGTAATACGTATAAAACTGCCTTTCAGGCAAGAAGAAGCGACAAAGAATCCTACTAAAAAGAGAGATAGAAAGATGACTGATGTATGTTTTCACAAGTTCAAAACTGTCAATTTTGCAGAAGATGTAGACAAACATATCGATATTAAAAAGAATCATATAGCACACGAGTCGGCCAAATCTAAAAGCCGTCGATTTACTCAATTAGAGAAGAGTATCGCACACGTATCTATCGACATTTATGATGTAAACGGGGAGGTTATCGGCAAAAAATATGATTTCCGGTGAGTATTTCTCTTTTTTATTTCTTTTTTTCATTCATTTCAGTTTTCTATTGGATAAACTAATCATGCCTAATATCTCATAGGTGCAATCAGAATTTAAGTATGGATGATACATTGGTCGATGAGTTTGCGCCTCAAGGTATGTGGTTGGTTATACAAATAGATTTTTAATAATAAATGGAAAATAGATCAATAAGTATAAATAAATATAAAAATAAATTTGCGATTTAGTCGAATATTTCTTTAGAATTACCTGTGTTTCAGATTTTTATTGCGGCGACGTCTCTGTTAAAGAAAAGTCTTTGTCGAATTCGTACAGATTTTCGTGCGATACTTCGGCATTGGATTCTACTATACACAACAATAATAATGAAAATGTTAACACGTTCTCCGAGTTCGAAAGAGACAATAATTCGTCAGAAGAAGAGATCTCTAATTTGACCACATCTTTGGAGTTGAGCCAACAAAATCTCTCTACATCTAGAAATACTGACAATACGCTTGTCAAAACGCCAACGAATATTTCAAATGATAATTGCCACGATGTGACTCTCATGAATACTCTGAGTCAGACATTTGCAAATACACCATCCCATTCAAATTCACCGATACTAACTAATATTGATAATACTATTTTATCGAACAATGATTTGGAAGAGCAATGTTTGAACACTAATATCAACGAAAATATGCACTGTATAGACGTTGGCAGTGTATTAGATAGCCCACCTGAGTCGGTGAATTCGAAAGGAAGAAGGTATATTTTTGTTATTTTTAATGCTATTTAACTCTTTCATTATTACAAGTAACTATAATTGCTCGACGCATAAGCGCTTACATTTTAATATATTATAACATACATCTTATTGGCAGATTTCGATATTTGAGAAGCCTTATTTACTTTATTACTTAATGCTCTTTTCTTATCACTAAGATCATAAGAGTAATATGCATAGGTAGTTAAATATGATTTAGGTGTAATCATTTTTGAACGAGCGCGCACAATTGGTATAACCATATCATATAATATGTTTCACGAACGTAACGAAAGAGTTAATGTAATAAATCTGTTAGAATTTTGAAATTCCTGGTATTTTAGAATTTCATCGATAGACGATTCAGCGATGTTAAACGATACAAATGGAGATCTAACGCAAACAAACTTATGTATCGATTCTGTAAAAAAGACTCCTCTGAATGAAAGTAAAAAACTTAAATCACGGCAGCAATCTTCCACTTTAAAGTCTACTCCAAAATTGGTATGTTATATTACAATTTTACTGATAATTAGCGATGTTTCTTTCTGATAATAACCTGGTGATATTCTGTTTACTTGCAGTTGAAACGAAATCACGCATCGTGTAAAAGACGACGAAGTATAATGAAAAAAAATCTCTTGCATATTTTGGAAAATTCATTTTCTTTAAAGCAAAAAGGTAAATCCGTTATATTTTGTTAATTGAAATCGTCCAATACAAATTTATTAATTCATACTAAATTATTCGTCTTCCAGATAGATCAAGTATGTTTAATAAAAACTTGCGTTCTTGTGTGAAGTGCATACGAGAAGATGATCCCTTGCGATACGAAGAAGTGACGAACGCAGAATCGGATCTTTTAGGATTTCGATTACATACCGAATCGGATATATATATCAACGCTGACGTAACGACGAATGTCGACGGTAATATAACGCCTTCGACCGATCAGGAGATTTCAGAATTTCACAGTTCTATGGACATGTCACCGAATTCACCGCACGAAACTTTTTGTGACGTTTGGTTTCGTTCAGATTCACATTTTTTATCAGTAAGTCATTTTAATCGACGGTCAATAAATAAGAGCGGAAATATACTAGTTGTAGATTGCTAACAGAATGAATTGTGATTTCAGGAAACCGTCGATCAGTGGCACGAGATGATACAGCCCAAATTATGTGACGCGGATTATGGACACTCTGAAGACGAGTGATCAACAAAGAATTAACTTCGACGATGTCATTCAAAAGGAGAGTCCTTACGAAGTGGCCAGATATTTTTTAGCTTCGTTGGACTTGGTGAGAAAGATTATTAGAAGACAAGAAAAATCAGAATTAATCCATCAATTTTAATGAATCTTATTGTCAACAGGCTGCGAAGCAAAATATAGACATAACCATGAAAGAGGATCCCGAGCATAACATAGAAATCGTTCTACATACAGAAGATGAATATTGTTCTAACAGTCAAGCGGATTCGCACGATTAACGAGCAAATTCTTAGTTTTAATAACTGTATAAATGTGTATATGTACATTAATGAAAAATGAATTTATGTACCTTCCTTCATTAATTTCGGGAAGGTCTCTATACTGTGATATTCTGCAGCTTTTAAAAAAATGTTTATTATTCGATTCTTTTAAAAGAAAAAGACCTTACGTATATGTACATATGTGTGCATATGTATATGTATATATACATACATATTATATTTGTGTATTAAATTTTTTTCGCAGGATACCGACTCATTTCTCTTCCATCTCTCGTTTTCGTCCTGATCGTTGAGTTACAATTATAGATGCATATGGAATAATAATTATACGATTCATTGGAAATCTATACATCTCCACCAGGCGTGAAGTTCCAATTTAACTACCGTCGAGTGGTAATTCGCCGCCGGGCGGTTTGTAACGAGCAGTTACGCGAAAGAGACTGTTACAGCGACTGCAGCGTGAAATCGATTTTTTTCTCTTCCCTTTTTTTTAATTAAGACTGGAACGCATCCCATTGACACGCGCTCGGGTGTGCCTGTGGCCGTTGAACAAAACGGAGCATTCACGAACGTTGCGGTTGTCCCGGCTCGTCGGCGCACACTACGACGCAACGCACGTCTCACACGTGCAATGTATGACAATTGGCCGTGGTATAATACACAGAGAAATGCTCACGCATGCGTCTCGTCGGATGCCGAGCCGACGACGGCACCGGTTCACAGTTTATATATTAGTTTACATTAGGACCACACGGACGAACACCGCAAACCGCCGTGTAAACTGCGTTCTCGTTAACGCACCTCGCGAGCGTTCCACTCGCGCGCGTCAAGGAAATAAAGGAATATCGTGTGTGAAATATAAAATTAATATTAAAATAAGCTGTAAGTATTTTTTTTTTTTTCAGTGACGAGTGCCACAAAAATATGGTCGTCGTTTGGAAAAGTTTGTACAATTGAAAGTTAGCGTTAAGATGAACATTACGGCGAACGGGAGAGCGGCGAGGAGAACGTAGGAAACGGAAGTGTGAAACGCGCGGATGTTGCAGAAGTTTAATGCACAGTCAATTCCGCTTGATAGTAACCAATCAGACGGCACAGATCTATATGCTTCTCTCCCCCGATCTCTCTCTTGCGGCGTGCCAGAGATATTCAATTGAAATAGTTGCGTTCTGCCGCGCGTCGCGTCTTCGCGCTATACACGTCGTGTTATCATTCGCACGTTTGTATAACACACGATTGCGTTATTAGCTAACAATAACAATTCGGCGAAAGCGATTGAATAATTTAATTAAAATGATTTTTGAAGACTTTTTTGCTCGTCTTAATCATTTAGTGATTTAGACTGAAAAAACTTCTAGTTAAAAAAACTAACAAAAGGGCTCAAGAATGATGTTTTAGTGAGAACAAACCAAAATTTCTGGTGATAACTAGAAATTTTGATCTCACCAAAGTGCTATTTTTGTTAGGTCCTGTTGATTTAATATCTCTCTCTCTCTCTCTCTCTCTCTCTCTCTCTCTCTCTCTCTCTCTCAGAACATTTTTCTTTATGAGGATTTCATTTGGTATTTTTCGTTAATTTTTTAAAATAAATTAGCGATAATTTTCCTCGATGCACAGGAGGCTTTTTCAAACATCACTTTTCACAGGAGTTAAAACTACGTCAGCATGAACAGCAAGAGTGCATTACTAGTGCAACGCTGGATTCTCCAGCCGCGCGTGTTGCTCGTTCTCGTTTTGCTACAATTTATCATTCAGTTTTTCACGTCCGTCTATCTGTATAAGTATATCACGAACGTGGAGAGTGATCTTCATCGAGTAAAAAGCCTGTATCCGCCGGAGGCTGTGGCTGTTCCACGGCGAAGACGCAGCAGCGCGTTGCCGACCTCCGAAGACAATGCCGTTTCGGATATAGCCAGTCGGGTATGTAAAATACACAGTTAGAGAGAACATTCTCAAAAATCTACAGAAATTCAATTCTGTGTGAAGCAAAAATTTTTTTAATGAAGAGAGAGAAACGACTTCGGAAGTTTGAAATTTCCTTATATTAGCTCTCACAGAAATCTAACCCGAGAAAAAATATTATATATATGAACATATTTTATTAATATATAATTATATATAATTGTATTATATAAAATATGTTAATTTTTTATATAATTTTATATAGTTATATATGAAACATTTTTTCCCGGGAATTTATTACTCTAATTTAATACTGAAAGCTAGTGATAGACTACTTATTTTAAATATTGAAAGTACTGAATAATATTTAGTATTTTTAATTCTTAAAATAAGTAGTTAATAACTACCTTCCAGTTAACAACTATCTTAAATGTTTTTAAGGGCAACGAAAAACAGAAAGCGTACAAAGTACCTGAATTAAAACTTTACGCAGTTGCACTAATTACACGAAATAAGGAAAAATATACGAAAAGAGGAAATTATTCTAAAAAATTTTAGTGGAAAAGAGAGATTTCGTGTCTTAATTCCCCAGCGTTTAATTTTCCGAGATCTCCTAACTGCGGGGGCTTTGACTTGCCAATTTAATTCCTCGAGGATATCTCAGATCTCTCTTCCTTAATATCGCGGGATTGCTCGGGCCGCTCGGTTACAGATCCGAGATGACAAGGAGATACAAGGTACAAAGAAGGTAACCGCCTCCCCGATGGTATCCGGCTCCGCGTCCTCGCCAACGATAGCCGGAGGTCAGGATTGGGTCTGGTTGAACGCCGACACACGAATACAAGTCAGTTCTGTGTGATTGTTAGAACTAGTTACTGTTTCGCGATACACATCCTCGTGAATACTCTCCTCAAACTTGCCGAGTTGTCGTGATGTTCCTCGACGAGTTCCGTCATCTATATAGAACATTACGTGTGTAGAAGATACTTAGAGATAGCTCCTAAATATCCGTTACACCTATTTTCTGCATTAAAATAATGATGCTAAAATAACAATACTATCCGGTAAAAAATTGTTCATGCATAAATACATATGTATAAATATGTATAAACATACATAAACACGCATAAATATTCATAAACATGTATAATTATATATGAAATATGTCCATACATGTTCATACATCTTTTTTTCTTTTGTGAAATTACTTTTTAGTGTAATAGAAATAATAATAGTAATGTGGAAACATTCAAAATAATTAAAAAGGTAATTTTTGCACTATGTTTTAGAAAAAAATCAAGTTTGAAAAAAATGTAAAAAAATTATTTATGTACAATTATATAAAATTATGCATTATTGTGTATGAGCAATTTTTTTACATTTTTCCAAATTTGTTTTTTTCTAAAACAAACAAATTTTCACATTTGTTTTTGTGAAAAAAACAAATGTGAAAATTATCCCTTTAATTATTTTTTATGTTTTCACATTACTATTATTATTTCTGTTCCACTAAAAAGTAATTTTACAAAAGAAAGAAGAATGTATGAACATGTATGGACACATTTCATATATAATTATACATGTTTATGAATATTCATGCGTGTTTATGTATGTTTATACACATTTATACATATTCATGCATGAAAAATTTTTTACCAGGTAAAATAATACTACTAAAATAACGGTAACATTTGTGCAAACGTATTCTTGTCATTATTATATCAATTTCAGTATAAGAATAAAATTCGATTAAAAAATTAAATATCGCTTATGTATGTAATATATAAGATCATACTTTATATTTTAAATAAAGATATATTTATAAAGATAATTTGTTTTTAATTTAAATATTTCAAATGTATTGTTACATGAAAAAGAAAATAGTTGAAAATTCCAAAAACTTTAAGACGCTTGTAGAATCAGGCCACGAAAATATTTCACTACAACAGAAATAACTACAGTATAAAAAATTTTAATATAACACATAAGAAGATTTTATTTTTTAATTTTATACTCATGCCATAAAATCGAGCATTCTATAATGTATCTATTTGTCTGTCTTTCAGTTCGACGCGATCGAGAATTTTTGCCGTTCATCAGCAAAATATTGTCCACCGGGTCTCCCCGGCGCACCCGGAAATCCAGGTCCTCCTGGCGAACAAGGTTTGCCGGGTGTCCCAGGGATGGAAGGTCTGAGAGGACCGCCAGGACAGCCCGGTCATCCTGGTGCCAGAGGACTTAAGGGTGATATCGGTCCGCCAGGCTTCGACGGGAGAGATGGGGTGCCAGGTGAGCCTGGTTTGGACGGCATTCCCGGTAGAAGTGGTTTGGACGGTGTACCCGGGAGCAACGGTAAGCCAGGCGCAAACGGATTGCCTGGATCGCCTGGAAGAAACGGAACAGACGGTTCGTGTAAATATATAATTACTTGATAATGTAAGTTGCAATCGAAATTTTGGTGCGAGAAAATGCACTTTGCTGAAGTACTAAAAATTTAGGTATATATAGATCTGAATTCATATCCCTACAGCACAAAGTTGCATAAAAATTCTGTACTGTATGGCTAATTTTACATATATGGGTCATTAAAATAATTATGTAGGAAACCCTTTTTTTCCGTGTACGAATACTAAACTAACAATTTTACATTAAAATTATCCCTTCTACAATGCATATCAATATTTAACAATTACAAATCGAATTTTTTTACTTTTTATTATAATACATTTTAATTTAAAAAATGTATATTAATTCTTGCGTGAGAGAGAGAGAGAGAGAGAGAAGAGAGAAACAATTTAATTTAATTTAATTCAACTTTTTAATTTGTTGAATTAAATTTTTTTCTACGTTCCTCTAAATTGTAGATTTAATTTACTAACTTAAATTTATAAGAGATACATTGTCTTTATGTTAAAATTTTTACTCTTTAATTAAATTGTAAATTATGTAATATTATAAATATTAGCAGAATACAAATATTTTTTATAATATCTCATAAATGAAAGATTGATTAAACAATTTGTATTCATATAGGAAGACCAGGGCAAATGGGACCTCAAGGACCACCAGGATCTCGCGGTAGATAACGTCACTAGATTATTATCACCATTTTCATTTTATAAATATTTCACTAATCAATTTGTTTATGCTTTAGGAGATATAGGTCCACCTGGTCATCCAGGAGCACCTGGAAAGGATGGCAAATCAGGCATACAGGCATATAAAATAAACATGAACGATTACAACGAGAATGACATATTAATACCGCCATCCATCGTAGGTAAGAATTACTGTCTTCACTATTTTAGCAAAATCGTTGTTTTTTTCCTTTTTAATAAGGTATTGAATTAGAAACACAAAATTAATGTATAAACAAATGCATTTGTTTACACATTCTTTTTTATAATTATTATGTTATTATATTTTATATTGTTTATACATTATATCATATATGTTTTATATTATCGCAAGGCAAATTTAATAACTCTCCATCATATTGACTGTCGTAATTGCGTATCTCCTATCTGCATTTTTTACCGAAGATTTCACAATCTTTGAAAATTGACGTTTTACAGAGATTACATCGTCGTTAAATTCAAGTGGTGTGATTTCCGTGCAAGAAGGCAGCAAAATACGGCTGAGATGTGCCGCGAGTGGGAAACCTCAGCCTGTTATACAATGGACGAAAATAGACGGTTCCATGATACCGATGGGCCCTTGGCATGGTATAAACGGATTCTTTAATTCAATCTTAAGTAATGAACAGATGGAGCGGAATTAACAAACCTTCCCATAAATCTTGCGACTCTAGTGAGCTCAGTTACGGGCCATACGTTCAATATCAGTCTGGTGAACCGGGAACATATGGGCGACTATGTGTGCAATGCTGATAACGGAATACCTCCGGCACGATTTAAGAGGTTCAAGCTTCAAGTCAAATGTAAGCATGTTTTAATCTTAATTAAAAGGAATATATGTACATATTTTTTGATATTTAATAATATATTGTTTTGAAATATGAAATCGTAAAATAAAAATTAAAGTTTATATAATAAATTAATAAAATAATATTAACGATAAAATTTCATACATAATAAATTAAAAAGAATAATATATATAAATATGCATAACATTCTTTCTTGTAAAACGCTACGAATTAATTCCAACAACTAATATATAATATGTAATATAAAAGAATAACAAATAAATATATGTTTTGTACATTTTAAACAAATTTTTATGGAAAACTTTAGATCCTTATTAATTATTACTTTATTCTATATTTTAAAACGCTGCATATAAAATTTCTTTATTCTACTTTTTACTTTTAATACATGTATATATTTCACTGTAAATGCGAAAAATGCGCGATAGTAATGTCTTCAAAAGTTTTAAAAAATTTTGCATGCGATAGCGAGATAACACGCATAAATATTTTCTGAGTTTTAGTATTATTAGAATAACTCGTAAAGAAAACCATTTTTGCACGAATCAATAGGCACAGATGTGGGTAAAATTGATAATCGATCGCGTTCCAGTTGCGCCATTCATTCGTATACGCAACCAAGTGGTACTTGTACGAAACCAAAATCCAGCGACATTGGAATGCGAGGTGGAAGGCTTTCCCGAGCCGGTGGTATACTGGGAACGCAGTGATGGTCGCCGCCTGAAAATGTCGGATAAATACAGAACGGAGGTTTACGACAGGCGTGATAATTACAAGGTAACCCGTCGAACTCGTATTCGTGGACTTTCGCTAAATTCGCGCACGTTATGTCGCTTTTTACGGGATTTTCTTAGAGCCTTCTTTTTTATTTTAATAAGTAATTTGCACATCTTATCGTATAAATATCGATAATAAATCGTTCCTGCTCATCTGCTATACGTTAGCAACAAATGAGGTGTCTTACAATACGTGAAACTATTCTGAAAAGCTGAAGATGAAGCTGAGAATCGCGAGGGTGACTACGTCGGATCATGGGACTTACCACTGCGTGGCAAAAAACGATTTTGACACCGTCAAGGGATCCTTTATAGTCGACGGTTTGTCTTTTACCTTGTATTACCTCATATTTCTCCTTGCATTAATAATAGAATTCTAAAGAGCCATTACGGAATTACTAATTAATTATAACATGAAGGATATAGAAGGAAGCCTCCGAATTTGTGGGATTGCGGATGTGCACTGTTATTCTACATTATCTTATAGCATAATGTTTCCAGGCAAAAATATAATATACTATTACTCGCATTTCTAATTCAACATTCAAATGAAATAAGAAGATAGATGCAAAATATTAATAAATACAATAATATACAAATAAACATATTAACAAAATGTTACAAATTCTGAAAAGCACATTCTATATCTATTGTATAATTTGAAGATTTTCTTGAGATTGGAAATTTAGGGGCTAATTCTGTAACACTTAACGACAATCGTTGCGCAGATATTATGTAGAGTAAAAAAGCTGTCCAATGACATCAACGACTGTAGTTAAGAGTTACAGAATCGGCCTCTTTATTTTTTTCAGCATATATAATTTTTTTAAGATTGATCCTAACGCCTCTAGAAAATAATTCTGCTAATCGAATTTTCTAATTGATGCTAATAAATAATGCTAGACGACATAAAAGACGTCGAGAAATACAAATCAGGAAAGGAGGAGCACGTAACATATGGTCATCCTATGCCCATGAGCGTCGATCAGGAGCAAGAATTGTGCATCCCTACGCAAGAAACCTGCACAACGTGCCCAAAGTGCACATACACAGATATAATAGACCATCTGCATGTTCAACCGTTGAGCGATATTAATATTACGCGACCGCCGCCGCGGTCAACTGGTACGTTTAATCAATTCTAACTAATGTATTCCAACGGCGTTCTTGCACAAGGTAGATCAATTAATTCTAGAGGTGCAAAGCTTCGGTGTAAACGCATACGTAACGTAATGTATTACATTTACATTTCCCAATATAACATAGGTTTAGTATAATATATATGCATTATATATGTATATATTTAACAAAACGGATGATATTTGTCGAGAATTCTTGTTAATCGATACAGTAAACAAAAACAAAATAAGAAATTAATAATATAAAACGAAAAGGGTATCTTCTCGACAATTCTTTACAAATTTATTAATACATTTTACATATTTTTATCCTCATGAAATAAATAGAAATTAGGAAAAAAAACTTGTTCTCGGAATGAAGCGCTGCCATCCAGTCATTTAAGTCACTCTTTGTCACTTTTTTTTTCCTGAATGAACATGAGATTTGTAAACCATAAACGTTCTTTTTATATTTTTATCTCATCCGAAAACGATTGCTATTTACTCACTGTCATTAACTGGATATTAGTCGATATTAAGTTTATCTCTTTTAAATTAAATGGAACTAAAAGGCAATATAACTGTCGTACAGATTACATATATTTTTCGTAGATTTAAAGAACACACGTTTTTGTTTTTTGTTGCAGTTTAAAAAATTTTATATATGTTTTAATCATCTGATGAGTGTATTTATCTCTTTGCTTTATTTAGATAATATAATATGCTATGGCTGCGTTCACATTGGCGCTCACAGCGCTTGTAAGAATGTCTTTACTCAATATTTGATTAACAACAAAGATGAAATGAAGTTTAAGCATGGGCGCCAAAACAAATGCAATTATATGTTTGATTTAGACCAGTGAAAATAAGAATAAATACTATTTTTCTTTCGCTTAAATGTCCTTATAATTAATCTGAAAATTTGATAAGTAATGTTATTTTTAGTTATTATATTAATGGGTAACTTTTTCACGAACAATTTTGCTGAAGTATCTAAAAAATTTAGCTAGATACAGATTTAAAAATAAATTTATTGAACCATGAAAATAATTATGTAGAAAATTCAAGCATGATGATTAGTGCTGCAAAAAAATTTTGATATTTCAGCAAACAGCTTGAGCAGTTGTTTTTAGATCTATATTTAGATAAATTTTCAGATACTTTAACATTATATTTTCTATACGTAAAAAGCAATCTCTATTTCACTTGTTTTGACTTGATGACCTGAATAGCTGCGCTGGAAAAAAATATTTAATATTTAAGATATTTATTTTATGAATTTTACATGACTGATTGAAATTTATTTTTGATTTAACTTTTAATTTATCTACCTTCGTACGAGCGTGTACATATGGCGGGTCAAGTACACAGCGAAGAACTTCTCCTCCCTCCGTGAATTAATGACTAAAGGGTCGTAATATCGCGGAAGTTTACGTAATTAACGAACTGACGGCACTCTCGTCAAACACGAGTGCCCGTAATATCGCGGACTAAAAAACGATCTCTTTCCACGTGAACTCTCCCGACTTAAGGACGTAAAAGTTAATAAGCGATGTTGGTAAATTCGCAGAAGGTTTTATAGAGGCTATAGGAAAACCTGTGCTGAAAGGAAACATGGACGATCACTACGGAAGTTGGATGCATGACGCGTCCAACGATATCATGCCCGACAGACTTTGGGTTACTCGCCACAACGATACATCCTACATCTATGAATACAAATCAAAGGAAGACTTCAAGAACAATACGGCGCTTAATGAGATAAAATTACCCCATCCTTTTCAGGTTGGCAACTTAAGAATAACAGACAACGAGTTGTCTTTGATTATACATGGAAAGAACGATTTTGATGAAGAATTTAAAAATTTAGCTAGATTTTGATTTGAAAATAATTTTAAATTATTAAAATAATTAAGTTACTAGAATGTTGAAACTTTTGTATTACTCATCGTGCTCGAGAGTCCTATATTACTTTGATGATCCAAAGTTCAGATCTGTATCTATATAAAGGATCTTTCTGATCAAAATTATTTATAAATTTTTTCAGTATTGAAACGTTTACGTAAATTTCCGATGTTTTTTTAATTTCTGATTAATTTTAGAACTTTTCAGAAAATTTCTCGAACTTTTTATACAAATTGGAACCTTTTTCAGAAGAAAACCTATAGCTTTTTTAAACTTTACATTTTCTTTCGTGTACATGGAAATAAAGTCATTCCACTGGAATCCAATTTCCTATAATCAATGCGGGATTTCTTTTAGATATTTTAATAAATCATTCTTTTATGCACGGAAAAAATTTTGCTGAAGAATCTAAAAAATTAGCTAGATACTAATTTGAAAATAATTTTGTTGGACCATTAAAATAATCAAATAGTACTCAAGTTGATTGCTAGAATATAAAACTTTCTACAGCATTACTTATCATGCTTGAGAGTTCTAGATAATTATTTTGATGATCCAACGAAATTATTTTCAGATCAGATTGTATCTAATTAAATACAATTTTAAATACGTATTCGGCAAAATCGTGTAGTTACACAATTCCCAGAGTTTTAAAAATAGCTATAAAATCACAATAAAATAAGGGCATGTACATATTTTCTTTAGAAAATTTTAACGTCTAAACATGGAAAATGCCTGGAGCGAGAATTGAGCTTGCGGTTTCGACATGTTCTTTTAGGGTAACGGACATGTAGTTTACGATAAATCGTTTTTCTACAATCCCATTAATCGACCGACGGTCCTTCGATACGATCTCTACGCGTCCTCGGATCATCAAAGGTGCAAGCAGCTCTCTCCCGAATGCGAGATGCAGCTTCCATGTTTAGAGATCGATGGCCAAAACTACCTTTACACGCGCAATTTTACCTACACGGATTTCAACGTAGATGAAAACGGTAAAATCTGCAGGACAGACAAATATTCAAGCTCTACACATAAAATTGAATAATTGAATGATTGAAAATATTTATTTCCACATAAAACGGAACCATTGTAGCGTGACAATACAATATACGGCGTTTCTGCAGGTTTGTGGGTCATTTACCCATTATCCCCTAATTGTAGTGGTAAAAATACGGTGGTAGTGAAAATGGATCCCACTAAAATGATCATTCAGTACGCGTGGAATATCAGTATCGATCACCGTCGCTTTGGAGAGATGTTTATTGCAGGAGGCGTGCTTTATGCTATACGCAGTGTCACCGATGATACTATGGAGATACGGTAACGCAAGTGACGAATTGCTCTTAAAATTAATTGTATGCAGTATCCCATATCCCATAAAAATTCTTGGATATTTGGATTTTCAATGTTTTCTATTATCTTTAATATCACTTTAATCCCAACAAATATAGATAACTGCTATAATAATTGTAAATAACTGCTAATATACATATGTAAATGTACACTTTTTACATCTATGTTATGAGTTATATTCAATATTTGTTGTTTTGTAAAACTTTTAGAGTCAATTTCAAGAGTGAAACCTCACTCTTGAGATTATGCCTGTTTCTATCAATGTAGATTAACTTTAATCTTAAATTGCTCTTCATTTTTTTTTAATTCTTACAACTAGAGAGGGAGAGAGAGAGAGAGAGAGAGAGAGAGAGAGAGAAAGATGAAGGATTAGTTGATCGCACATTTGTAGAAATGGGCATTCAAGATTGGAAATTGAATCATTCTTTTTCAAGACTGATTCAATTTTCACTCTTCAGAGTGAGATTCTACTTCAAAGAATTTAGAGTGTGGGATTGTGCCTTTATTACTTTCAAAATATCGTTCCTTTATTTTAATGACATATTTTTAAAAACGTATTTTCAAGTTATTACACGAATGAGTTAGGTAAATATTATTCTAAGACTTTAGAAACAAGACTGTTTATATGAAATTAAACTATAATATGAGACAGCCAATTAAATATTATTCTATTAATCATTAAAACTGAATTAACTTAACTTCATAAAAAATTGTTAGAATATTACAACTTCAAGTATAGTTTAGAAATATTTTAAATCCTTAAATTCCGCTCTTTAAAAAGGGCGATATTCTAAGAGTTCATGAAACGAAAATGATAAAAATGTCATTCGATTATGTTAAGATCCTTTATTCTTTTACGATGATTTGATTAATTAATAATTTATGTCGAGTAAAGAAATAATTTTTCATTTTTTTTTAGAAATTTAATTTTTTAAATTGTGAACTTTTAAAATAAGGGAGCGATATATCCATGAATAATCTCATGAAATATTTGTACTATATATTTGTATTTGCTCCTTTCTGACTTAAAAATTATTATTATTTGTAACTCGACCGAATTTCTTAGATTCGCCTTTGATCTCTACAAAAATACGACGCTGGATGTAAATTTATCATTTACGAATCCATATCACAAAACCACAGCAGTTAGTTATAATCATAAAACTAAGGTACGTGCTTTACCGAAATAGAATCTTCCACTATTTTATTGTTTCGTATTCGTGTAATCCGTTTCGTTTTAGGAGTTGTACACGTGGAATAAAGGCAACCGATTAGCCTATCCCGTGAAATGGCAGGAGGTAACTGAGAGGGAACCATCTTCACGATACACGCATGTACCTCGAAGAAACGCACGTAGGAGCATCAGTAATCGCCGCGAGAATGTTAATTAAACAAGTTTGACGTGTAACGAGTTCTCTCCCTTCGAGCCTTCTCGCGAGCGTATTTATCTTGTAACACGTGCCAAAAATAAAACAGTTTAAACGAGATTAGTCAGTGGGTGTAATTATTGCTTGTTAACAAATTCAGAAATTATAATGATGCTAAGAACCATCAAATTCACATTTAAGTATGGTCGTGCAAAATAATACAGAATCATGTATAATCGTAACATAATTTTTAAAATTGTACTTTTCAGAGGATATGTAATAAGTACATAAAAATATATATAAGAGAAAATGCGTATAAGCTTCTTTTTTAAAACAATTATCGTTTATCAATAGCCTTATTCTAATAATGTACACTATTTACATATAACATTCTTTTACTCAATTAATAACAGAAAATTTGAATTTAAAAAATATAATCATTATAATTGCTAATTAAATAAGAAGAGAACGGAGTTATGGCGCTCAGTCGGGCCGATTACCTTACAAGAATTCTAAAGAGTAATATATAATATAGAAATCAAAGCCTTACGATAGAGATCTAACTAGATCGTAATGCTTATGATTCTTGCGTGAATTTATATACTAAATATAATCCCCAGAAACGTGCGCCGAAATGATTTTTCGGTCTTTGAAAATGCTAATTCTACTAAACTACTGCAGTATTATCACGAGTTAAATTGACTAGCAATTTAACAAATATTTAATGCAATTCGCATCTTCGAAACGATCTTAATAATGATTAACATATTGAAATCTAAATAATTAATTCTTATTGCGAAAAATATTACCTCGACTGGGAGCCGGATCTTTTGCATTGTGCGAGCGTCCTAAGCCTTTAGACTACCGAGGCCTCAGTAATAAGAATTAATTATTTCCAGATAAGTAGTAATTCATATAAGAAATTATGACATTATAAGGTTAGCATACTTAAATGCATGTATACCGTATTTTATGCAGTAATCGGATTTTTAAAAATTTTCATACAACAAAAAATTAAACATAATTATCTGTTTTTTTTATTTTCTGAAATTTTTTTGAAACAACCTGTTGATGATTGCTCTGACCTGATAAGCTGCACTGATAAAAACTATTTATTTTCTTGTATCGGTAAATAAAAATTTAATACATTTAATAATTGTGTTAATAGTTTTTCTTCAAAGCTATGATCCTATTGCCTGATTCTGCAATAAATTTGAGAAGAATTCAATTTAAAATTAACATATTAATAAATTTTTTTAGGTGATCGCCACCATCTTACTGTTTCCCTTATATATCTCATTTAAAATTAACAATATTGAACAATTTAAATAACAAGGGGAGACTCCGGAGTGATCCTCACAAATTTCAATGAAACTTGGCAGGATAAGATAGAGCGGATTGTTCCCTTGAATAAAAATCACCTCTCATTTGGGTATAGACAGTTTCCAATTTTATCTCAATATTAAAATTGGTAACGGCATTTCCAGATTAGAACATTTATATTCGAGTATTTATAGCGTGTAGTGGATATGATAATCACTTCCTTTATTTTAATATTCATAATAAGCAATATTCATGATAAGCTTTATATACTATCGCTTGATACGAAGTATCATAATTATCTATTCGATATGAAGTTTATTTACAAATCGATACGAAGTGTCAATATGAATTATCTATTTGATACGAAGTGTTATTAAAAACGTTTCGAAAATAGCTACAAAAAATGTAAATAGAGCGAAACATTGGAGAATGTTTCCATCACTACGCTACAAATAGTTGAGTATGAACTTTCTAATAAACTCTAAAAGAAATATCGTTATTATCTTTAGTATTGGAATATCTTGGAAACGGTAGACAGTCTACACTTATGGAGAGTTTTCACTTATGAATGATTTTTATTCAGAGAGACATACCCTGCTAAGTTTCATTGAAATCGGTGAGAGTCACTCTGGAGCTTCCCTTTGTAAGATAAAGATAAAGAAGAATAAATTTAAATTAAAATATATAGTAAACATTACTGAGTAAATTTTCCCTCAATTTTATTAAATTAGCATGTGACGTACTCGCAGAACCTAAACTAATAGCAACATCAATATGCAGTCATTCGCAGAAAACATAATTATTAGTGTTATAATTACTCAATATATTAAAATATAAAAGTAACATAACACATGTTGTATATAACAGTTATATTGTTGAATGAAAAAATATATTTCGTTCACCGGACTCAACAGTTCAGTAACTCGCTATTATTGATATATTATATATATTATATTATATTATTAGGTGTTGGAATTAATTCGTAGCGTTTTACAAGAGATGGGAAGTACTTTCATTAATGTATTTTTTAATGCTCATGTGAAATAAATAACATTCTTTCATTAAAAAACGCTACGAATTAATTCCAACACCTAATATATTATATATATTATATATATTATATATATATTATATATATTATATTATGTATATTCTTTTAAAGCACCTAATCAGCATTTTGAATCCGGAAGAATACATCAATAGATGCGAGCGCTCACTCAACTGTTGAATCCGTTGAATGCAGCTAACGATGTTAATTATAATGTGAGAAATTAAACAGTGATGTTACTGTTATAGTTATTGATAATAATGCTGATAATAATGATAATGTCACTATTAGTTGCATTCTGCAATATATACGCTCGCATTTATATAAATAGATAAGTAGAGTTACTTTGTTTATTAGTAATATATTTTTGTGCTTTCATTTATTACTGTATAGTGTATCAGAAACCACAATGATTTCGCGAATGTAAATTTCTAAAATTGAGGATCCGAACTAGAATCGAAATGTTTGGAGTTTGTACGAGAGATTAAATAAAGGAAATACTTCACATCGAGATCCATGCATGATTTAAAGCATTTATTCATTAAACAGATATCAAAGGTTAATTAAATCAAAGTATGAGTGAGTATTGGCTCTTACTATCTTTCGTAAATAACTAGTTGCGTTATAAGATAACATTTTTCTTGCTCAAAGGTTGAATCACTTAAGTGCAGATGTGATATATTATAGTTATGTAACATAAGAGGTCAATTGATTGCAACATCCATGAATTAATACTTTGTGACTCATCTTCATAATATCAAACGTTCATAATATCAAACGCGTCTGTGCTCACGAGAAACAATCACAACAAAATCGTTGATGTGTTCCGCTCTTCTCTTGCGAATACGATGCTTTGGACTTCTGATTCTTTTGGTACACGATAGATGTGACAAAGTTAATCATCATCCTCCTACTATTTTTATAGTAATATGGAAGGGGAGCATGGTGAACGTGCACGCGAAATTGTGATATACAGCACGGTTATAAATACGACCGCAGTAGGATCGACGGACAAGTTCCGTCGACTATCACTCGATTAAGAGCTCGGCTCCGACAGAACTATACGTACAGTCCTTGTTGAGCAAGTTAGCCTAAGCTCATCTCTACAGAAAATCGGAGACGTGACTACATTGCTCGATTATTAACACCAACTCGCTGTTCGGTTATGGGTACAACTGTCAGTACTTTGAAGTAGGTCTCAATGGGAGTGATAAATAAGAATTATATTTCAATACTTTCTCTGTTATACAATACTTTATCATGCTTGATTGCCTTGCTGAGGTCGTTATAACATTACGATCGGGAATAGAGATCTCTATAAGATAAGAACAGGTGCGTACATTGAACTCAGGTATTTTACTATATGGACAAAAATTCATTGACATGCTATCTATAATATATGTGATGAATGACAAATCAAGATATCTAAATTTTAACATAGATTTCATAAAGTGAAAATCGATGTGAATTTATTCACGTGAATTCTATATTACTATTCTATCTTCTCATTTTATCTTCCTGTTAAACTAATAAATAAACTAATAATAAAATTTCATGTTGAATTAATTTTGAGGAAAAATTATTTAATGAAATTACAGTTTCATTCATGTATGGATATCATAACAATGAATTTTTTGTCCACGTAAAATATAGATTCAATAAGATACCACGAATCTGTTTTTATCGATAATAATTTCGTCGAGTTCTCAAATACCATGACTTTTTAACAAAGTTATAAAGCCTTTTAACAAAGTTATAATAACAAAATTATAAAGTCATAATAATGTCGGAATATGCGAGATTTATGATTTAAAATTCGCTATTCGTATGAGATTCGCGATCAGTGTGTGGATGTATTCGTTGAATTTGCATTAATGACTTCTTTTTGATAAAATCAAAGAGTGTGAACATTATGATTAATGGCCAAATGCAAGACCTCGATTGTTCACATCACTAACATCACATTGGTTAATTTAAAAATTTTCTCCTTGATGGTACACTGAAAAATTTTCAGGCATCAGTCAAGGTGAGTGGATGTGTGCAATCAGTTAACTCTCCTAGTCGAACAATATTATTGCATAATATTTATATGTTCTTAATTTTTTTATTTTTTGAGCTGTCATTGACATTATTTTTCTTATTATCACATTAAATAAGAATATAATTAAAATAGGTTTTTTAAGGCTCAATTGATGTAAATCAATACAATAATAATATCTAGTAAAGGCAACACAGGATATCCTGACAACCTAATAGGCATTATTGTATTAAATAAGAAATTATGAATAAAATTGTAAATTGGGAATCGTATAAAGATCTATACTACATGAATGACAAATCTCTGCGAATCTTATACAAACAATGAATCACCATGAATTACAAATTATTGCGCAATTTGAGTTTTACAATTAATGCAAGATTGCGATCACAAATTTATTTAAAAAGTATTTTTTGTAAATTTAAACCGTAGTTCGATTTATAAACAACGTTTAAAATTTAAATTATATTTTATTCTTATTGTTTATAAAATGCTAAATAGGGATAAATGATAGTCACAAATATTGTTAGCGTAAATTAGACTACAACTTTAATAAGATATGATTATTCGAGAGAAATTCGCAAGCAATCTATTTTACAGCAACCAGTTTTTAAAAAGTTTATAATCGATCCTCATTATAACGACATCAGGCCTTTTAATGTTATACTATGCAATCTTAATGTGATATTAAAAATAGTCTTTCCTCGATCA